GACCTTAATAAAATGAAAAGGATAAAATCCCTCGGTAAATATTGAGTCACATACCACATATGATTAAGTAGCCTTCCGCCATATAGCAAGAGAACTTGGCTGCTTTTTTAATCGGAGGCTTGTTGAGGACACTCAAGGCCACACTTTTACACGAGTATGTTTGAGCTATTGGTGGGTCTTACTCAACTAGTTTCATAAAATCCGGATGCTTGAAAACTTGATTATTATGGAAACTAAAGGCAAAAGCTAGGCAAAACATATATGATATGTTTAGGCAATGTGTTGTCAACTAGCTGATCTAGGAGTCGTATAGAGATATGATTGGTAAGCTTAGTTACCTACCTAATCCACCTATCATAGTTTGTTGATCACACTCAAGGCCATGACTAGATGGATGGGATCCTAGCCCACTAAGAGAATCCTAGTAGAGATCTCTCGAGGTGATATGGAGGGCTCTTATCTTGTAGAAAATAGTGGGAGAACTATTTAAAATTTTAAAACCCTATTTTAAATAGTTTATGCATGATGTTTACTTATTGCTTTATTTTATCTATTTAGGCATAATTTATATACATGGCGAATAATCTGTTACTGACGAGCATCTTAGATGCAAATAAACTCATTGGCCCAAACTTCCTCGATTGGTTTCAAAACCTCAAGATCATTTTGAAACAAGAAAAGAAATCTTATGTCCTTGATACTCCCATTCCACCAGTCCCTATTGTTGATGCTAGTGTTGAGGATAAGGAGGCATATGAACATCATAAGGATGACGATAATCAAGCAGAATGTGTGATGCTAGCCAATATGACCCCTGAGCTCCAAAAGCAACATGAACACATGGATGTCCAATCCATGATTCTTCACCTTAGAGAACTGTTTGATAAAGAGGGGCGCATTGAGAAATATGAGATCTCTAAAGAACTATTCTAATGCAAGATGGTAGAAGGCAGTTCTGTTAGACCCCATGTGCTGAAGATGATTAGACTCATTGAGAGACTTGGATAATTGGGATTAGTAATGGATCATGAGCTAAGTATAGACTTAATTCTACAATCTTTTCTTGACAGCTTTAGTCAGTTTTTGTTGAACTTCCATATGAATCGATTGGAAGCCATTCTTCCTAAACTTTTGAATATGCTAGACACGGCAGAGAGGTCCATCAGGAAAGATAAGGGATCACTGCTTCTTGTTTCTTCTTGTAAGGCTCATACGAAGCAACAGAAGAAGAAAGCCTAAAAGGGGAAAAAGGTAAAATCCCAAAATGAAAAGGCGTTGAAGCCTAAGGGAGGTGTCAAAAAGGACATAGAGAAAAATATTTGCCATCATTGTGGCAAACTTGGGCATTGGAGGAGGAACTGCAAGGAGCAGATAGCAACTGTGAGCAAGAAAAAGAAACTTATTGAAGTTTCTGATTCAGGTACCATTCGCCAAGTAATTCTACTTTATATATTAAAGGTATATGATACCTCTAAGTTGGTTATCATATGTTTGACATATTGCTGTGACCAAAGATAAACAAGAGTAGGATCTTGGATTAGGAGATGACCACATGGATGGACTACCTAAAGCATTAAATGCTACATTGGATTGTTACACTTTTATTTATCTCGATATGTTGGATTATTTTTTTGGATGTTTTTGAAACATTAATTATGTAATTGCCATGGGAATGGCTGGTGAAACATTTGTCTTTAGCATTTGGATGTGGAAGCTTTTATGTTTCATGTTTGAATAATTATTTGGAATAATTATGTCACATTTAATTATCCATGCTTCATGTTTATCCTTGTAATGATATTTGAGCAATTATGAATTATGTACAATTGATCAAAAGGTTAACTATTGATTCATATAAAATGGAACTTTCTTAAGAGCAAAACATAGAGATGAATATTCAAGAAAGAAAGCAACTTCATATTGCAATATGATTTGGTCCATATCTCTCTAACATAAAAGCCCATTATGATATTCCAAACCAATGTGATTCCAAGCATACATTGAGATGTATATACCTCATGGAACATTCAAAAGAGTTTGAATATTACTGTCACAAAGTATCTTGGATTTAGTGGGAGCCCAATCACAACAAAAAGTTTAAAAGGGCCAAATGGCATAACATAAAGTGACTCATGCATATGATGCATGCAACAGAGTCTAGTTGGAATGGTCCCAAGGAGCAAAAGGGATTATATGTATATATAAATAAAGTCATATACATTCTATTATAAAGGGCTCAAATAAGAAGATATTTATATCGTTAGTTCATGGAACTAATAAAGGGTTCTGGACATTGTTATTGTAACAATGAAGCCATAATGATAGAACTTGGGTCTCATTGGATTAGGACATTGTGTGGATTATGAGTTTATGAAACTCATCTTTGCTAGCACATTGTTAAGGCATAACACTCCCAATCCTTAAATAAGGATTTTCTAATTCATTAGTGTGGAGCACTGTTTAAGGCTGTACAAGGATTCCTTGGACAACTTTGGTTTGCAACACTGGGCTGAGGTGGTTGAGCTTTTTGAAGGAAAATTAGTGGTTTAACAAAGGATTCATCAACCTTTGTTATTAAGGTAAATTTGATATGATCTTGCATATATATTTTATTTGTAATTTAATTTCGTACTCAATTCGGCATGAAAAGATCCTAGGAAGGTGAGGCGTAGTTTAATCTTAAATTTATTTCCTTTGCATTTATTTGTATTTGATGCATGATTAGCCCTTACCTAGCAATTTGGCCTCTTTAATGTACCCAGCACCCTTATGTGCCTAATGAACTAGGTATTTCACCCTTTTATTGGGAAGTTTGTTAAAGTTTATTTTAATGATATTTTGGTGTATAGTAAAAGTCAAAAAGTGCATTTGGAACATTTACGGTATATTTGAAGTATTTTGAGAGCAAAAGCTTGTTGCTAACTTAAAGAAGTGTGAATTTATAATAAACAAAGTTATCTTCCTAAGATATGTTGTTTCAAATCAAGGGATTGATGTGGACTAAAGCAAAGTTGATGCTATTATCAATTGGTTAGTTCCAAAGTCACTTCATGATGTTCGAAGCTTTCGTGGATTGACCTCTTTTTACTAGTGTATCATCAGCAACTTCAGTTCTATTGCTGCTCAACTTATTGAATGCCTCAAGCAGGATAGTTCTATATGCAATATCAAGGCACAACATAGGTTTGAGGAATTGAAAGATAAGATTACTAAAGCTCTCATGCTTGCCCTTCTGAACTTTGATTTGGTGTTTAAAGTTGATTGTGATGCCTCTAATGTTGGTATTGGTGTTGTTCTTTCTCAAAAAGGATGACCAATTGCCTATTTTGGTGAGAAACTCAATGATGCAAGATTAAAGTACTCAACATATGATAAAGACTTTTATGTTGTTATTCTAGCCCAGGATCATTAGCGCCATTATTTGTTGCCAAAAGAATTCATCTTGTATTCTGACCATGACACCCTTAAACACCTCAACTCCCAACACAAGTGTAATTATTGACATGTAGCTTGGAGTGAATTTCTTCAAGCCTTTCCAATTCTCTTCAAGCACAAATCAGGTGTGCAAAACAAAGTAGCTGTTACTTTAAGTTGTCACCGTAATTTCCTTAGTTGAAGGTTGTTGGCTTTAAATTTGTGAGAGAATTGTATTAGAAAGACCTTAAATTTGGTTAAATATGGAAGTTTAGTTCCCAATATCCTTATCGATAATTTCATCAGCAAGAAGGGTATCTTTTCAAAGGTAACCAACTATGTATCCATAAATGTTGGTTGTGTTAATCTATTATTTGGGATGCTCATAATAGAGGGTTGGCTAGACATTTTAAGAGAGACAAAGCATTAGTTCTTGTGAAAGAAAAGTTTTATTGGCCCAAGCTGGAACAAGATATCATCCAATATATTCAAAGGTGTCGTATTTGCCATATTGCCAAATTTGGAAGTAAAAAATCTGGTATGTATAAACCATTACCCATTCTTGAAGCTCCTTAGGTAGATGTGAGTATGGATTTTGTTTTGGGTTTGCCAAAAACTCAAAGGCAAAATGATTATATAGTGGTCGTCGATTGATTTTCCAAAATGGCTCATTTTGTGCCAGGCCATAAAACAAATGATGCTTCTCACATAACTAATTTGAACTTTAAAGAAATTCTGCGTCGTCATGGAATTCCAAAAACCATTACTTCAGATTGAAATGTGAAGTTCATGAGTCATTTATGGTGAACTCTCTAGAGGAAAATGGGAACTCACTTGCAATTTAGTTCAGCAAGTCACCCTCAAATGGATGGTTAAACAGAAGTGGTCAACAAAAGTTTGAGAAACTTATTATGAAGCTTTGTGGTTAAAAACATTCTCTAATGGGATCTTGTGTTAGTACAAGCAGAATTTTCTTATAATAATTCTGTGAGCAAAACCACTAGAAGATGTCCATTAGAAAGAGTGTATGGAATGTGCCCTTTTAGTCCCTTAAACCTTCTTGTGTTACCAATTACTTGTGAATTTAGTGTTGACGCTGAAGAACGTGCAAACAAAATCAAGAGGCTTCATGAAGAAGTTTGAGAGAAAACTATTTGTTAGACTATTAGATACCAAAAGCAAGCCAACAAGGACAAAAAGCTGGCTAGTTTTAAAAAAAGAGACTCAATGTGGATTAATTTAAAGAAAGAGTGTTTTCCTAAGTCTTGTGCAAAACCATCTCGTTTGTTGATGGACCATTTCGAGTCTTGGAACGTACTAATGAGAATGCTTTCAAGAATGAACTTTCTGGAGATTATGAAGTTTCTACAACTTTCAATGTACCTGATCTTTCTCCTTACTATGAAGAACATGAAGACCACATGGATCTTGAAAACAAATTTTCTCCAACTTAGAGAGAATGATGTAAGAGTATATTATTAGATTAATATTATTTAGGAATTATAGGAATAACAGAATTCTTCTTTTGATTTAATTTACTTGTATTAGTACTTTAAGCTAGTCATGTTCTATTTAGGAATAGAACACTTATTTTATTTAAATCTCTTGTTAATTATTCTAATTGTATTAGACAACTAGAAGTATAGTTTTATTAGGATATGGGCCTATAATACTATAAATAGGACCCTTAGGCTTAGTTATTATTCACATTCAAGTTGAGAGTTAATAAAGAATATTTTCTTGAGTAAGCGTTTATTTCTCTAGACTCTTTTTAAAGAGTAAGAGATTTTAGTATCTTTGACCTGGCCAACTAAAGTGAGATTTTGGCTATTTTTCACTTTAGTGGGGTTTTCAACCTTGTTGAGATTTATGATTCACCTTAGTGGGGTTTTCAACCTCACTGCGATTATTGTTTTTCACAACACCCAAGTGTCTTCACAACGCCTCGGTGTCAACAATTCATGTAAATCTTGTAAAGGCACCCCGGGTGCTCATATGGGCTCTCAGGGTGATTCATAATATTCACATAATCTTTATATAAGTATCTTGCCATTAAATGGCTCAACATTCCAATATCAACAAGTATTATAAACAAAAACATAAAGACCAACTTGTCCAGTGAAACATGACCCGACTCCCTCAGCTTTAAGAGACTACTATGTCACTTACCAAAGGAAGAACGGATCACATTTTTGTGACATGGATTCTTAACAGCTGTCACTGATTTGCAACAAAATAGGAAAAACTAATGTGTGAGTCACAAACACTTCAAGAGTGAATACGTGAAGGGGACAAGTCTAGTGGTTAGAGTTTTGGCATAAATAGAGTATTTATGTAACCATGCATGTATGCTCTTTGAAATACACATTGAATGAACTTGTAAGAGAATAGTCATGCTTTCAAAAAGTTTCATAAGTTCTTTGGAAATAAATATCATTCCTTTAAATCATTAAGTAAAGAATCCAAATAAGTCATGGAAACACTTTTCAAGCATGTTGAAGACATTTAATTCTTTATAA